TTCGCTGGTTAGGACACGTATTGCGCGTGTCCAGCCATCGTCTGCCACACCGCACCCTATTCGCAGTTGCGGCTCCAGGTTGGAATAAACCGCGTTGTGGTCAACAGATGACGCAGAAGCAAAGCATAAAGAATTGCATAGAGCGATTAGGTAGAATCGGTAACTCCCGTCTTCCAGGTTGGGGTCCGAAAGACTCTGCAACTGGCTGGCTGGAGACATTGAAGAATATGGCGACTAACCGACAGCAGTGGTGCTCTTGTCATTTCTTAACAAGTCAGAATGCTTGAAAAGATGTGTGCACAGTTAGATTGTGTACCCTGTGTGTTGAACATAGAGGTTCTCTTTCTTTGTCTCCCAATCCGTCTCCATTTTGTGCTTTACCACTTGATTTGTGTACATTATGAGCCTGGCAGCAATCAGTGAAGTTCGCTTCATTGTATCTCGCTGTACGATGATGATGATGATGGGTTTTATAACTATTGAATGAAACGTGATCTGCTACACCCCAGGAGATGTGTTCGAGATCCCAGTCCAGTGACACATTAACTTCACTACGGCCACCATCGATGTTGCTTTGGGCATGGTGGGCAGTGCGGTAAGAAAGGGAACGGTGGGGGGTGGCGTCATCAGCAAAAGAATGGATCGGGTTGACAGTTTAGGAAAGGAGATTATTGGTGAATAGAAAGAAGAGGGTGGGTGCAAGTACTGAACCTGGGGGAACACCAGCATTCACAGGGAAAGGCTGAGATAGAACCCCATCAGCTCGGGTAGAGATGGTTCGCTAAATGAGGAAACTTGATATCCATGCTACCAGAACCGGAGGAAACCCGAACATAGACAGTTTCTCCGGTAGTCCTTCGTGCCAAACTCGGTCGAAAACCCGTGAGATGCCAAGCGGTACTCCGTGTGTTTCTCCGTAGTTATCGAGTGCAGCTGACCAGGATTGACAGACAAGAGCCAGCACTTCACCGGTGGAACGACGTCGAAAGCCATACTGGCGGTCGCTCAGTAGTCCTTCACGTTCAAGGAACGTGCGTAGTTATTCAGAGATGATAGTTTCAAATACTTTCGAAAGAACAGATGTGAAGGAAATGGATCGACAATTGTTGAGGTTGGCGCGTTCGGGAATGGAAAAAATTACGGCTCGGTCAACGGACATCGTAGTAGTCGCTGGGGACTTCAATGGGTGCCTAAGACGAAGTAAAGTGGTGCCCCAGGCGGCTCGCACGCAATCCCAGCCTACCGGACGGACAACGGGGAAAGCCCACTCCAACTTTAAGCTGACCATGGACTGTTCCTGTTAAGCACCAACTTCTCCCACAAGAAATGACGCAGCTTTTTCTTATCACACACCTTGGTGTGTCGAATAACAGATGAGGTAAACCTCAGTTACTTGCTGTTCAGTGATGGAAGCCGACAGCTTCAGCCCCTAGACGGAGTGCCGAACTACATAAGGACCCGCTAGGTTAGGTGTGGTATTTAACCGGACGGCGGCAAAGCTGACTCCCACCAGTTGTTTGGTGCTGGCGGGACTTGAACATCGAATCATAGGGTCCAAAGAACGCAGGTGACAGCGACTAAACCGCTGGACCACCACCGCCTTGCTTGGAAGCCGCCATCCTCTTCATTAACAGTGGACCCAAATCGATCACATCGCTAGTAAGGATTTGTCGAAGATTGCCGCTCTCACCAGTCAACACCCGTGGAAACGGACAACACTCTGCTACGAGCCGAATTCTCCCTATGTCTAGTAAATAACCGCAAAAGTGTCACCGGAAACGGATTCATACAATGCCTTCGATGCGGAACTCTCTGATCGCTTCTGAGCTCAACCAACCACCGAAGGACTCTGAACATTACACGTTAATCAAGGAAGCTATCCAAATGTCAATTCAGACAACAACGGAATTCTAGTACGTAATCAAAACTCAAACGATAGATATCATCGATCTCAGTTGCCTTGTTAGACGGCAGCAGAGCCATTCATCCTCGGGTCAAATTGGACACCTCAAGCAAATCCATTAAACGCCAGCTCATCAAGAATCTGAGGAATGACCACGAGATGTGGTGGGTAGGAAAGTAGAGAAATGGAAAAGGCTACAGCTATTGGTAATACTCACAATCTTTTCTGTCTGATCAGCAGTACCGGCCCAAGGAAAGTGGGCATTGTTATATTCGAAAGATGCGGAGTAATGCAGAAGAGGAGTGTGGCCGTATATAGACTTTAATCTTCTAACAATTGTAGTACAAAAGCTACAATGTAAGAAAAGGGCGAGCTAATAAAGTTCTACTTGAAATACGGTAACTCATCAGTTTATGACAGACATTAGATTATAAAGCAGTCCAACGACACACTAATTCACAGTTGGCAGCGCCGTCTTGAGCGATGGGCAGAAAATCTTAAGGGCCAGTTCCACTGGCCCCGGTCGACAGAAGACCTCCTTATGCATACTTCAATTGTGCAAATGTTGCCGGTTAGTATCATTCCTCCATCTGAAATGGAGGTTTCCCGGGAATTCAGTCATCTCAGAAGGTATAAGGCCTCCAGCCTGTACGGATTGTCACCATTGGTTTTTAAGAATGGAGGCCTAATCTTGGTTTTGGAGTTAACAAAACTCTTGGGATTGATATGGGAGAGGGAGCAAGTTCAGATTGAATGGTGTGAATAGGTCATCCCACGGATATATAAGAAAGGAGATACGCCCGCTTGTGAAAACCACAGAAGAATTCGTTTAATCAACATTGAATCCAAACTTCTCACTGACTTCATACTCCGTCGGTTGTCTACCGCACTTAAACGGTGCACACGTGAGAATCAGGCTGGTTTTAGACCCGGTCAAGGTTGTATAGATCACATTTTAGATCCTTGTCAAATTTTAGAACACAGACTCTCCTATCGCAGACGCACCGTTCTTAACCTGAAATCGACTTTTAACTCAGTCGACCACTCCATACGCTGGCGCTGCCTCTTCCTGAAGGATGTACTTATACTTCATACCAATAGCCGAAGTCGAGTCCGGGCTTACGGCACTTTTTCGCCGGAGTTCACCACGGAAAGTGGTATTCGTTAGGGTTGCCATCTCCATTTCTATTTAACTCTGTTATAGATCTGATTA